GCTAGAAAGAAACGCTTGAGAAGCCCACCTAGATACTCCTAAAGAACCCTAAGTCTCTGCTACAGCTTTTATCATATTCTGGTGAGTATCTCTCTACTTTCTCCCTAAGTAAGGCACTTACAAGAAAGAAAGTGCCAATTTGCCTGTGTATGTCTAGCACCCAAGACAGGCTTGAAAGGTGGTAGGTGCTCAGTAACTGCTTACTTAAGGAATCAATCAGGAAATAATATCATGAATAAGATAGGTTGAACTCAGAGAATACAGAAGTGCCTATACATGCAAAATAGACCCCTATAACAAGAATCCCTCAAATTTTAGTGACTTACACCCATACTGACTACTTGTGACTCATGCAGCCCAAATAAAGCATTGTGATTGGCAAGTGGCTTTCCTGTAATCAATGATTAAGGACTATAACTTCTTTCACCCTGTGACCCTACTATCTTCAACATATAGCAAGGGACTGCAGAAGGAGGTCAAATTGGAGGATTGTATCCACAATCTTTTTAGTCACATGTGAAAGTCACACACATCTCAGTCATGTAATAAAACACTCATTGACATGTCTATATCTACCTGTAAGGGAATCTGGAAGTGTGGTCTAGCTGTGTGTCTAAAAATAAATATTCTTTCATATAATGCATATGAGTATTATATTCATGACATTGTGTGTGTGTATGTGTGTGTGTGTGTGTGTGGTTTGCAACCTACTTTGAAAGGATGAAAAAAAAAGAACAGAGAAATTAATTATACATTGCTTAGAAACTGAAGAAAACAAAAAAGTAAATAATAATAATAATCACAGATTTAATACTTATCCATAATATGTGGTAATAGTATGGAGTTTCTTTCTTAAGTATATGTTTTGAAGGGGTATTTATTCTAACAGTGAAAAGCATCACATTAAAGTTATTTGTTTGTCAACTATTCCACATAAATTGGCTAATTATCATGAAAATTTTTATTTTATTATAATCAAAAAATTCATCCAAATATTTTAGTGTTTTTCTTTTGATATTGTATATTTTGAAGCTGAACAAGTGGTTTTTTAAGTCCCATTAATAGCAAAGTGAACTTTGTTTCATTTTATTGCTGAGACTTTCATGTGCTTTTCAATGAAAACATTTTTTGTCATGGAGAATATAGAAACTTGTAAGAAATAAGATATGAAACAAAGTAACCACTCATACCACTAAACAGAGAGCTACTTTAGGGAGTTAGGCTATATCCTTCCAGAATGTTTGTATGACTATGTGACTTTTTTGTTTTGATGTTGTTTCATAAAAATGAGATCACTCTATAATCTGTTCTTACACTCAACATTATGTCATAAACATAATCACATATTCTTCTGCATTATTATAACATTATCATAGTATTTCATCATATGATGCATCAAAATTTATTAAGCCAATCCTTCAGTGTAGCAATTAGATTACATTCAGTTATTTGTTATTATAAATGAGCTGCAATGAATGTCTTTGTGGCTAGATCTTTGCCAGATAATCTTATTAGACTATGTCTAAAATGTCAAAACCATTAGTTCTCAAATTTTAGTACACATAGAATCATAGTGGAGATTTATTTGGACTCTTAGGCTGTAATCATAGAGATTTTGATTACGCATATCTGGAAGAGGACCTGAGAGTCTGAATAAATCAAGAACCTTCCTTGATTCTAATGCAGGGAGTTTAGTACCATGATTTGAGAAATAAGGGCTTTAGGATATTAGAAATAATATCTTTTTCCTGAACTGCTTGCAAAAATACCATTTTTTTTTTCTGGCAATAATACAAGATATGTATTGCTCTGTTGGTTAGATTTATATTTCTTTCCAAAATAAAGGCATTTAAACTCCTGCCTTCTACATGATAAAGTTATTCCATTTTATTTCTCTAGTATAATTGAAACACATTGACCTGGAGTGTGAAAAGATCACTTATTATACAGTTTTTGAGTCGAAAATGTTAGAATATAAATATCTATTGCTTAATCATTTTTATGATCAAGAATAAAGTACCTACAGGAAGTTTGGGCTTAAACTGACAATATATGAGCTTGAATTTAAACTTTATTTTTAATAGCGATGATTCTCTCAAAAGAAATTACCCCTTGAGTCAGTTTTATTGAAAAGAGAATGTCACAAACATTAAGTCATTCATCAAATAACCTGGGTTATATGAAGCATTTTTGCCATTTGCAAATGCTCACAGTGGATATCTACGCATCTAATAAAAAAGGTGTGAACTTCAGCTAGCTACATTCAGTGTGACCAAAGCTTTGGTAGACTCATCTGTTTTTCTTCTTTCTATGTGCGTTTTGAAGAAAGCTATCCATACACATAAGCCATTAACTTAATTATGACCTGTTATCAACCCAAGAGTAGGGTCAGTTTTCAGTTCTGTTCATAGATAAACTTCTCATGCACATGCAGCTTCTTTTCCCCATGTAAAAGCTAAGAATGTGACTTGCATGTGTTTTCTCCTTATTTTCCATATCTGCAAATTCACTAAACATTTAATTTTTTGCCATGAATTGTTACCACCTAAGCTTTAAGGGTCTGGGTTAAGTGACTTCTTAAGACCACATGAGTAATCACTGGTATAGCAGGATCTAAAATTTCTATCTCCTGATTTAGTCACATATTACCATGACTTTTGAATGTTTTCATAGGATTGTTTGACCTCCATTCTGTTAATTAACAAAAAATGCAAGTGTGAAGTTTATAAAGTTGTGGTGAATTAGCATGTGTTCTATTCATGTCTAGTTGTGTACACCCTGCACCTGTTTAGGGAGTGTAACATCAGGTGTTCATTCAAAGAGATTTGAAATTGGATCCTGACTTGGAGGTGAGTATCCATCCTGGTTTGCTTGATAGTGCGGTGTTTTCCCAGACACAGGACTTCAATGGCTAAAATCAGAAAGTTCCCACCAAACAGGGATAGTTGGTCGACCTACTTGCCATGTGGCCATTTGGCCAAGGTCTGTAATTTAATAGATCTCTGTTCCTTTGTGTGTAAAATGAGAAAAGAGGAGTTATCTCACAGGATTTTAATACCAATTAAATAAGATGGTAGAAGTAAAGCATAGCACCACTTAAAGGATTCGGTAAATATATTTAATTACTGTTATTGATGTCATTTTAAAAAGCAAATGGGTTCTTCAAAGCACAGATTCTCAGAATCTAGATCTTCAAGTCTGGGATTTGAAATAAATGAACTCTCTTTTAGCTTAGACCTCTTTTTCACCTTTTAGGTATTCTTGTATTTTACTTTTGATCCATAAAATTAGACAACACAATGCAAGGCTGAATAGTCCATTGTTGCTTTCATAGTTTTCAAGATGTATAACAGGAAGAGACACATTTTCTATTTGGAAATCAACCAGGTTCAACCAGGTTAGAATGAGCATCAAAGGTAGCATAGTGCTATGGAAAAAAAAAAAAAAAAAAGAATTAGACTGGATTCCAATGATAATAACAGCCACTTTGTTGAGTACAAACTGAGCCAGATGTGGGTGCTTATGATTCTTTGTACCTGCTCCAAACCATGATCTCAAGAGGTAAATAATATTACCTCAATTTTCAGAGAAAATTATCTTGGTTTTTGGAGAAATAACCTTAGTGAGCTCAAGTTAATTGATCCAAGATAGTGGTATAATAAGGAGTGCAATAAAGATTATATTCTGGTTCTGAATGCTCCAAAGTTCATGCAGTTTTAACTTATAACCAAAAGCTAGTTTGCAGGAAGGTACTTTGCCTCTGGGTGAGTTTCTTCATTTATAAAACTCAGAAGGGAAGAAAATCGCCCTTTACCATTCCTTAGCACATTACAGGCAATCAGCTATCCATGTATCATTTAATTCTTATGGGTAAATACTAGTTCTGTTTATGAGAAAGAAACTTACTCCTTAGATTAAACAACACAGGTGGTGCTGGCCATGGTGGCACATGCCTATAATCTCAGCAGCTCCAGAGGTTGAAGCAGGAAGATCTCAAGTTCAAAGCCAGCCTCAGCAACTTAGTGAGGCACTAACTCAGCAAGATCCTGTCTCTAAATAAAATATAAAAGTGCTGGGATGTTGCCCAGTAGTTAGTGCCCCTGGGTTCAATCCCTGTTACACACACACACACACACACACACACACCAAAACCCAACTGGTAAAGTGGTAAGTATTCAAAAACCTAGCACTCTACTGAAGCGTGTTGTAGCATTTGATGATACTATAATTCTAAGTATGTGAATATAATAAATGTTACTCAGGCAGACTTTTTAACAACTTAGAAATAATTATTGTTCATGTAATGGACATTTTTCTCAATTAAAATAAAAATACTAAATTTTCTACTTGATTCTAGACTTGATTTGCCTTTGTATGTGGGTACTGTAGCTCAAATTTTTCAAAATTCAGGTGCATTTTAAATCCTATCTGCATTCAGATTTTATTTTCATACCTTTTTAAAAATCCCTCTCAGAAATTCTTATTATAGCAATTGGCAAGAGAATATTAGAGATGTATGAAAACGTGTTGCAAATATGGTGCTAAGTATGAAAAAAATTGGAGTCAATTTCTACCTCTCTTTTCATAGGCATCTATGTGAGAACACACACACACTCACACACACACACACACACATCCTGACATGAATAACTCAAGATATATAAGGAAATTATGTTTTTGCAATTCATTTCATAGAAGGTAGAAAAACGTTTTGATTTACCTTTGATTTTATATATTTCATGAAAAAATTAATGAATTCTAAGATGACTGAAGATGTTAATCAATGGTTTCAACCAAACTATTCTTAAATATACTGGTGAACAAATTTACTGCTTTCAAAATAAGACTTAACTTCAGTTATAAATTCTAATCTTTTCAGTAACTATTATTGTTAATGTGAAATTAAGTTAATTTCCCCCCGAGAAGGTATGAAGCCATTATGAACCATAAACATGGGAGCCTTTATTGATTGTGTGTATTTTCTTGAACTTTACTCATAGGCCTCTGAGGAAACACTGCATTCCAGTAATGAAGAGGAAGACCCTTTCCGGGGAATGGAACCCTATCTTGTGCGGAGACTTTCATGCCGAAATATTCAGCTTCCTCCTCTTGCCTTCAGACAGTTGGAACAAGCTGACTTGAAAAGTGAATCAGAGAACATTCCACGACCCACCAGCCTCCCTCTGAAGATCCTGCCACTGATTGCTATCACTTCTGCAGATTCCAGTGGGTGAGTGCCCTCGGGTGACATTTCCCTGTTTTATATTTTTGATGACGATTGTTATCTGTGGTCTTCTGAGTTTTTCTGGCTCATTGCTTGATTTGAGTAGGATGACAATAGTGTTTTGGGAGTCCAGGGGGGAAAAAAAGGATGATTTTTCTCAGGTAACATCTCTACTCTGCAGGATGAAGCATTTTAGTCCATTATTTTACAAGAAGGCATTGAAAATGTATTGGTGAAAGCTAATAAGCATCCAGGCAAAGGGAATTATACATGGAAAATTAATATTGGATATTTGTAATTTAATACAAGGATTGTTAACAAATGAGAACTAATGGACAAATTACTGTGTAGGCATACATATGTGGAAACAGCAGGCAGTGCTCATTGATGCAAAACGAACTTGGAATCAAGAAGAGATTGCACTGTAATTAGAATAAAAAGAAATATGCAATTATATTCCTGAGCTTAATAATTTGGCCTTTGACACTTTGAGGTGTTACTTACCATAATACTGTTTTAGTTCTCAACATAAGGCTATCTATTTAGTGTTAGTTCTTATAAAAGGATCAGCCAAGGTCACATCCCTATCAAATAACTTTCTACTTCATAGGTTTTTTTTTTTCCTTTTTTCTTGCTATTTACCAGTACAATTTTTACTCTTAATAGCAACATAAGCAGGTTAAAAAATGTAAAAGAAAACGAGGAGAGTGGGCACATTTATTATTTACTCTGGCCAGCTGCATTTTTAAGAAGCTTGGATAGGAAAAAAAGGTGGGGGGGAGGAAATGAAACCTAGTGGCTCACACAGACAGACAATTGAGCATTTAATAAGACTTACATGAACAAATCTATTTATGCTACAAATGTGATTATTTTTCATTCTCTGCCTAGTTAAAGGGATTTTTAGGGGTGGTACCTTTTGTATTTTGTAGTGAAATCCAAAAGGTACCATCCCCAAAAATCAAGTGCTTGCCTAGCACATGTGAGGCACTGGGTTCAATCCTCAGCACTACATAAAAATAAATAAAACAAAGGTATTGTGTCCATCTACAACTAAAAATATTTTTAAAAGGGAAGTTGTGCTAAAATATTTGGCCAGTAACTTGACTCTAAGATACTGAATTTACCTGTTTAGATTATTATAGACCCATCCAAAGAACTTTTGTTATTAAAAGACACAGGTCATTACTACTAGGTAAATAAAAATGCAACAAATTCTTACCTTGAAGCAAAGAAAAGAGGAGCCCCCAGAGCTCATCAGTTGGTCATATTATTGGCTTTGATTATGGCAAAAGAATTTAAAGCAAAAGGAAAGGGCACACATGGCAAAATCTGCAGAAAACAGATGCAAACTCCCAAAAGCTACTCTCCAAGTGGAATAAAACAGGATGCATTTAATTCCTCCAATACTGAGTAGTAACAATGTGAAAGGTTTTCATCAGGGATGTCTTTTACCAGGGCAGCCTACCAGGAACTCAGTGCCTGGAGTTTTTATTAGGAAGAGGTTAGCTAGGTACCTTCTGACTAGAATGTACCAAAATTCCAGACTTCTAAGGAGGAAAGTATGTGTTCAACATAAACCACATTGTTTGCATAAGCAATTGGGGCACAATGAGCCACTCTTAAAATTTAGAGAATGGTGGGATACCTCCTGAAATCTAAGTTCTCAGATACTAGTTAAGGTTCAATTTTTCAAAAGAGCCATTTAAATTCAATAGTAAGAGGCTTGATTAACTCTTCTCTGTATACCAGGTTTGTCTTAGAATAATTGTCTTCATTCTCCACATTTGAGGGAGAAGGTATTATAATTAAATTTAAATTAACTGATTTAAGCCTCTGGTATATTCAATTAACTTTGGTATCTTAAAATTTGGTGGCTAAACATGATTTCTCATTTCAAGCCCATGTGCTTGTAAAAGAAAATGATTCAGTAATAGTATCTCCCTATAGTTTGGTAATATGTATAATTAAAAATCTCAGGTAAAAGCTAGGCTTATTTAATTAGATTTTAATGTGTTGCTAAAAAAAAAAAATTGTTTCCAAGAACCAAGGAACTTCAGTATTCAGAATTGTCTATGTCCTAGCACTTCTGTTGTTTCAAATTTTCTTTTCTCTTAATCAAGAACATAAGAATTAAGTATGAGCAATATTATGGTTACCATTTACATATTTATTCAGTGTTAGGAAGCAAATAATTTGTCTTTTATGAAGATGAGACAAGAATGACTTCTGTTCCAAAAGAAAGCCAAGAGAAATCACATATAAGAATGCCCAATCAACAAGAAACAAATACTAAGGATTCATTAAAGTGATTGTTATTATCTTAGGAAGCAAAAGTAATTTGCAAATTGAATATTGAGTAATAAGAAATTCAAAAGTATAATTTTCTGGATTGTCTAAACCTTGAAAAAAAGTAGAAGGTGAAGTCAGGAGTTATATTCTATGGCCATTCAGTTAACTGGAATCCCGATTCCTTCAGAGCCATCAGAAGTGGTTATGTTAGCTAGCCCTGTTGGCCACAGTCCAGTTCACCATTAATAAACCTAAGGGTGTCCTCGGGTCCCATTGTCAACCTATACTGAACCTTACTTAGCATGTGCGTATTTTCATGGTAAAGGAGATGTCTCATGCCATTTAAATTTATTTTCTTTCCATTCTTAACATAACATTTTGCCATTTCCTCTGGTATATTGCCACAGCAGAGAGCTCTGTCATATATTGGGCAGTGAGTTATAGGGACTTGTTCTACCCCTTTGAAGAGCCACATTGTGGCCCTGGAAGTAATTGGTGTCTGGAAAAGATGTTTGGCGTGCAACACTAAATTTTATGGATGGCAGCTCTTAGCTTCCTCATGGTCAGGAGACTGCATTCGAGAGGGCTTTTAATTATTAACATTTTCATTATTCAACTTCCAGTGTTTTCTCAGCAATGGGAATATGTTCAAATGCACATTTTAACAATTTCCTTTGGGTATGCCTAACACATTAGGTTGTGTGTATTCAGCAACTTTGGAAACTTTAAATGAACACAAAATCGAATTTTTTTTTTAATTTTTTATTCTTGGTTGTTCAAAACATTACAAATCTCTTGATATATCATATTTCACACTTTGATTCAAGTGGGTTATGAACTCCCATTTTTACCCCATATACAGATTGCAGAATTACATCAGTTACACATCCATTGATTTACATATTGCCATACTAGTGTCTGTTGTGTTCTGCTGCCTTTCATATCCTCTACTATCCCCCCTCCCCTCCCCTCCCCTCCCCTCCCCTCTTCTCTCTCTACCCCCTCTACTGTCATTCATATCTCCCCCTTGTATTATTTTTCCCTTTCCCCTCACTTCCTCTTGTATGTACTTTTGTATAACCCTGAGGGTCTCCTTCCATTTCCATGCAATTTCCCTTCTCTCTCCCTTTCCCTCCCACCTCTCATCCCTGTTTAATGTTAATCTTCTTCTCCTGCTCTTCGTCCCTACTCTGTTCTTAGTTACTCTCCTTATATCAAAGAAGACATTTGGCATTTGTTTTTTAGGGAT